GCACAGGATGGACTCGTGAAACACGGCTTCCAGCGGCGGGATGTAGCGACCCGGGAACTTGCAGAGATGTGTGTTACCACTTGAAAGGGCGAGTGGCATGCTGTCCAACCAGGCAGCATCCGCATCATACGAACCACGTATGATAGTCTCTTTTAAAACTATCGAGTTTCGATCAAAAGAAGGGTTCAGTTAAAATTTGACCAATAGTGATTGTATCAGCTGTTGGGGCACCATGGCGTCACAAAATTGATTGGAAGGGTCAATTTTTAGGAGCGAAAGATATTTAAATGAGGAATTACGGTAATTAAAATAATGTTTGCCCTCACAATACGAGACAGAATCAAGGAAGAAGAGTTTTGGACTCGACACTTGGTCCAGTAACCAAATGTGTTCTTTATAGGTCCCAGCCGACTTTTCTTGCGACTGAATGGTGGCTGCGATTGATGGATGAACTCTCCAGATACTTTTTCAAAGGACGGTGATGATTGTTACCACAGCAATAGGTTTGCAACAGCCAGTGCGTTTATCGAAACTTAACGTGGGGAAGACACATGCCATTCCGATGAGAAACGGTAGAGTTGTAAGGTATTCCAAGGAAAATGGGTATTGTCTTTAAGAGACATAGCGGACGTGGAGATCAGTAACAAAGTCAAAATAGTGGGAGTCGTAGGGATTCTTTGCCACGGCGTTGATAGAGAATAGATTTCTTACAAATATTCACTATTCCTTCATTCAGTGTAGGTTAATAGATATTATTTAAAGGGTGCTTGGCTTGCGCTCACTCCAATCAATTTTTAGCATCCGTTATACCAACTATTTCATCACCCCTTCATCTCCTCCACAGCTATCACAAAATTATTTTGATTGTCCGAAACGAGGTCAGCAAATGAGTTGCGTAGCTTTTTAAACACTTCTTGAAATTTAAGACACGCGCCGCCGGTACGCCGGAACTCGACCACACAGCGCCCTGATTCCTATACAGCAAAATGAAGATAGTCAACGTCAGCAGCATAACAAAAAGACACCACAAGTAACATGTAAAGCAGTGAGAACGCCGTTTGAGAGCTTCAAACTTCTGTTGCTGCTTAGTACAATCTGAAAGAGTCACAACGCAAGGGCCCCTTACATTATCGAGACAGAAGATGCGCACAGTAAATCCAACGTCTCCCGTTTCCGTTGACATTGTGACCTTGGTTTTAAATCGGTCCTTGTGCACTACAAAGTGTGCTGAATGTTCCGCCAGAACTTTTTCCACCCGCATTTGCAACTCCAAAGCTGCTCGACTAGATTGAAAACATGTGTATAGTGCCACACTGGCAGTAGGATACGATGGTGCCTCGGTTGAGTCAAACTCTGAAGTTGCAGATCCAGTGTCCGTCGTTATTGTTACTGATCGTTCAGTATCCATCTTAAACGGGTCAAAATCTTCAACCTGGTACTGATTATCTTGCTTAGATGCTACGAGCAGCTTTGCTTTCCGCTCAATTCGCTTCTCCTCCTCGACCAGCACCTTGCGACTAAGCAGCTCTGCACGGAGATCCTCAGACGAGATAGTACTCTCTTATGTGTCTTTATCTCCTCTATAGTAATTCGTTCTTGCGGATTAACATCAAAGATGCGCGTCATAATCGATATAGCACCAGGTGAAAATTTGGCAGAACGGCAATGAGCACTCCAAAATGCTTCATACTGCTGGGCTGCGCATGCTCGGAACCACCAATCCTGATGAGTGGCTATTTCAAAAGGTGGAAATCCTGCCAGCATAATAAAAAGCACCACACCAGCCGACCAAACGTCGGCGGGTTCTCCTTCATAAGGCATACACGACAACACTTCTGGACTCATATATCCTCTGGTGCCGCACTGTGTGTACAATTCAGTGACAGCATCGTTAATTCCTTTTCTTAGACCAGAAAGTCCGAAGTCGGCAATTTTCAATGTGAAATTTTCGTCCAACAACAAGTTCTCTGGTTTGATGTCACGGTGGTACACTCCCTGGGCGTGACAAGCATCTAGTCCGCTCACAAGCTGCTGAAAATAGGCGCGTGCAATATTTTCAGAAAAGACTCCAGTGTACATCATGAAATCAAAAAGTTCGCCACCCATGGCCAGCTCCAGCACGATAACAATCACTTGACTGCTGTTGCCATTCTTCTTGCGCTATGGCACATCATTGTGTACTGACAGCAGGCGAAGTACATTAATGTGTGAAACGCGTGACATGGCCTCTACCTCGCGAGTAGGGTATTGCGACTGAGCTTGGCCATGTCGATAATTTTGAGCGCCACGCGCTGGTGGGTAGTGGTGTCCACACCAAGCTTCACCTTTCCCTGTACGCCAGACCCAAAAGTTTGCAAAACTTGATAATGCACCAGCGTGCGCGGCTGCTCTAATGACGCTGCTTCATTCCTATACTGTAGTTTTCGTGATTGCTGCGCATTTGCGGGCTCAAACAACACGGACGCCATGATTCGCGATGAATATAAATGCTTGTGGGTAAATAATTGCTCATTTAACTTTGGTTTACGTTAACTCGAGAGTCTCCCACTATACTTTTTCTGATTTATCTCACTCGAGCAAAAAAAGGCGAGTTTTGACATCGAGCGATTGTTAAATCTGAAGGACCGAGAGTAATCGTCCGTGTTGTGTCCAAGTCTTTATGAAAGAGATGGGCATTGAAGCCAGTTTCGACGGTGTAGATTTTCATCACGCCTCGCGAGTGAGCGAATAACTTTTTCGAGTATTGTTTAGGTCAAACAATTCTAATTCGCAAAGTGTCACACTAAATAATGCTTTAGTCTTTACTGGCGGCACAACTTTATTGCTTAGAGAAAAGATTAGCATATAAAAGTGGATCTTTGAAAATTGACCAAGTCATGAGAACGCAGGAACATCGATTTGTCTTCACGTGATTCTAAACTATCTCATGTTTGATATTGGACCACGTCATGAGACCGTAAAAACTACTACATAGTTCAAACCATTTTTTTTCACAAGGCTCGTCCCACTTAGCAATTTGTTTGCAGCCATCATTTACGATGGAGAAGAGCAGCGTGGATACTGACAACAAGAAGCATAGGCCGACTCCTCTCCACGTCGCTCTCTGGGTTAGTGTGCACTTCATCCATACATGATGCGAGAACGTGATAATATATATTCTTTTTGATTCGAACAGAATGGGAACTTGAATCAGATCAAAGAATGTCTGCAATCTGGGGGTCCAGCGGCTCTCGAGACGCGCGATAAGCGAGGAAACCGCGCATTGCATCTGGCGCTGAAGTTTGCACATCGTAACTCCACAGAGATTGTCAAGTCTTTGTTGGTACCGATCACCATAATATAATGACAGAGACAGCAAGCGATTTCAGTGACGAACAAAATTATGTTTTGATTCTTAGGACGCTGGTGCTCGTGTTCGTTCACGCGATACTGAAGGTTGGAAGGCCATTCACCATGCCGTGGTGGCGGAAAACGAAGAGATCTTGCGGCTTCTCATTCGCAAAGGTGAGCTGAATATCACAGTAGATAATCCAAGTTAATCTAAGCCTTTATAATGTTACACACATGACGAATATCCAGAAAAAGAGCAAGCACCCGCGCTGCTACAGAGAAAAATTGACGATATTTGTCCTCGCGTTGCCGAGATTCCCGACTTCTACTGTGAGATAAACGTCAACGTTTCCACTTGGGTTCCTGGTGTATCTCGCTGGCTCCCTTCGGATACGGTAAAAATTTGGAAAGCGGCGCAAGATATACGCTTTGATATCACCTTAGTAGGCTTTGTCAGTGGCAAGTGGGACCGGGGAGATTTATCGTTTCTTCTCTTGGGCTCCGATAGAAGGTTTTTGTGCTTGGACAATTCAGCAAAAACCTACACTGATCTTCGAAAGGTTAACACAAAGCTAACCGAAACGGATCTGGACTTAATGGTGCACTTTTTGATAACCACTTCGATTGTCACAACCCAATTCGACGCATCGAAGGTGAAGATTAATAAAAAAACTGCATGGTTGTCTGCTGAACCAATGCTACAAGACATTAGTTGCTGGAAAGATACTCATGTCGCTGATATGAACGGTGTTGAAGTCTCGCTTCGTTACCGTAAGCCTCACAACCCGAAACACCCCCCTCCACAAGCAGCTGACGAGCACGTACGTGATCTGCCTGCTTTGAGTTCCACCGTCTGACCTCTGCGCTCTGTGAGTTTGTAGTCGACTGTGCGTGATGCAGTATCTGTGTTCACCGGAGCAAATCATGCTGAAGATCACAATACAGAAGTGAAGATTCATCCGCAGTCAAATCACATTGTAACTGTCTATCTCACGACAAATGAGGAATTGGCTTGGACCTTTTCGACTGACAAGCGTGATATAAACTTTGGCGTTCAATTTTTTGAGGAGAACAGCAGAGAGAGATGGAGGGACATTGTTCCCTTGCAACGCTTTCAGGCCCATGTAAAAGAGCAGACTGGTTCATATAAGGCTTCCAGCACAGGAACGCTTGTATTGACATGGGACAACTCGTACTCAGTAATTCGGTTGGTCGTTCGCTTTGCTAATTTCCGATTTTGAAATTCTAATATTCTATGCCTCATGGAGACCAAAGAGGCTAAAGTTTGCTGTACGCTTAGTCAGAGAAGGGGTCGGAGATATCATTGGAAATGAAGATCGGAGACCACAGCAAAGAGTCAATGAAGAAGCAATGACGTTTCAAAAGTGGTTCGGAGTTTCGATCGAACATTTGCCCGCGTCTTTACGTGAGATGCGTCCACATCGTTCCATAAAGGTGCACGCTCAACCTTCATGTCACAAAATTACGAGGTCATTTCCAGCTACTGTCCATCTAAGCGACCAATTCCCCCTCAGTGTGAGTACACCCTTTAGCACTAACATGCTTTTTGCATCGATTGACTACAGAACTGTTTCATGTATGCTATAGGTGTCAGAATTTCTTCCAGTTATCGAGGTTCTTTCGGAAACGACAAGTACTTTTGAAAGCGTTCAGAAATTTTTCTCAGCGGTGAAATATTGAAGCTAATTGTTTTAAAGTCAATACGTACCAATATTACTTGATGCTATGACCATATATATAGGCGCTGACAGACGAGTTTCCGGTGCAATTTTGTTTTCCACTTCTACCCTCGATTTCGGCGACATTTCGCTTCGATTGTATGGAGCTAAAAACACCAGAACGCTCCATCTTCGCAGTTCCCAAACATTACGCCATGCTTGTAGAGGGTATGCTTTCGCCGCGTACACGCCAAGCGGTGCTGCAGCGCCTGGCAGTCACATGATTTAGCATTTACATGACTCAAGCAACGATATCTACAACAGTCAGCTAAAATTTTGCTTTTTTCTGATTTTCAGCTGCGTATTGAACTTGAACTATGCACATTCGAGAATCATTATAAGTAAAGCTTTTACGGTGTAAGAAATGACATGCTATTATTACTTTGCTTAGTAAGGTCAGCACGCCTGTCAAAACTCGTTTTTTTCTCCTTGCTGACTTGATTCATGTACACATCGAGCTGCCCGCGCCATCCAATATAGCCTCACATCAGTATGGTAAATGGCAAACTGCGTCAAAATCCTGTAGTCAAACTCTAGGTGCTAGACTTTCTCTCTTCGGCATGTCATACGCTAACGGCAAAACACGCCTTGTGATGCTCGTTTGCTTCTAAGCAAATAGCGTGTACATCAAACACCATCTTTTGCTAAACAAATGACGAAACAACGAAACTGTCGTATCGTCCTTGTAAAGTGGTTTAGAGTTCGGTAATAATCGTTCACAGTGGAGCACGTTTAGATAGAGGGCGTGCCTACGGTGATGCTGAGGACACCCTGCTTCGCGAGTCGTAAATCTAAGCTCTACATTTATGAGCCAAGAATTCGTTACAATGCTTCCTACAATGTCGAGCATGTATCGATGAATCTTGTTTTCCTCGACATATATATCAAGGTTTATGAAAACGTCAAAACGAGGGCAGATTTGGAATTAGTAAGAAACTGAAGCAGCTTGAAAAGTTCTCAGGTCTTGGACGTAATTTCAATCATATTCTGAATGCCTACTTTATCATGCTGTAACTCTACTAAAAATCATCGACCCCAAAAGTGTCCGATATCGCGTTTCAGCAAAGTACTGTGTAATTCCGTCTTAGATTTTAAATTTTGTGTATAGCCGTTTCCCTTATAATGGATGGACTGCCAACTGCAACAATTTTTGATCGTGCTTAATTGTCTGTGTTATTGTGTAGCTCTTCTTAGCATTAATGCTGGACGCCGCACTGAGATTGTAATCTACTGCGTAGCTGAAATTTCAAGTGCAACCGTCACTTTGGATGAGTCACGCGTCTGCCATTACAACAGTAATAACCTAGATGTATGAGTATGATTTTCTATTCCGCTAAATTTGATTGAAACGCAACCAAAACCATGTCCGACATTACATTCGAATAGAGAAAAAGAGCCGATTTTGTACGCCACTTGCAACTGTGATTCCACTGTTTAAAATTATTGCGTATGTACATAATACACAACCAAAGTATCGCTTGTGATGAAGACACGGCAAACTCGTCAGAGGGGTCCGAGAATCATGCGGGATGTTAGCTTCACGTAGTTCGGAAAATACAGTTTCATCATTGCTCATAGTAATACAAATATGATGAGTATCTTTTAGCTTGTACTTAATCTGAAATATATGTTACTCTTTAAAAAGAGAGCAAACTAAGTACTCCAGTAATCTACTGGCTCTCCTGGGTGGAGCGTACAACCCCCTCCCTCCGCGCGCTGGCTGACGCGAAATTTTTAGTCAAAGCTTTCTCTAAGCAAGTTGCATGGCAAAGATCCTGTTTTGGTTGCACTTGGTAGCTCTTTTTTTATTAGACGATCGGCCTAATAAGATTGTGACCTATGTGAGGTGCAGCGGGGTTGCCGTAGCTAAGCGCTTGAGGATGCGTACTTTAGGTCACCGACCTTTCTTTCTTTACAAGTACCCAGTATGAGATAGCGGATTGCAATTCCCTTACTCCAAGAGTAATTATTGCCTTCCCAAGGCTAATTGACTCTTCGGTTTGAATTCAAAACTAATTTTTCTATTTATTTATCCTAATTTTAAAAGTTTAGATTTTCTTGAATTACAGTAACATTCACGAACATGCATAACTACTGGCTACCTAGCCCCGTACCGTATTCTTGTTTGGGTGTGTGGTCACACCATGCACATCTCGTCTGACACACACACCTCTTATTAGGGTTCGTGTAACCCCGTTACATGAGGATATAAGACGCGCTCTTTGGTTACCTGACTTCGGACCACTAAACACGCTTGACAATATCAGTCTATCGAGGCACCAGTGTACTAGCGGTTCAAGGACCACAAGCGGTGATTACATGCCTGGAGGTGGTCTATTGTTATGAGAATGCGCTATTGAGATGCGTCTAGGAGTTTTAGAAGCAGAAGTCCGTGGATGGGTATTCGGCATATGCTGGCAAGCCGAAAGTGGTGTTTGGATTTACCGACTGGAGAAAGCGCTCTCTCTATTTTGAAAACAGTTCTAGACATAACTCCAGCTCAATCTAGACGAAGCAAAAGCGCTGTGCACTAGTGGTCTTTGGGCTCAGAGGCCACAATCGAGAATGTGGAGTGTCTCTGTGGAGAAGGAGTTGCCAAATCAGAAAGATTTGAAACGACATATGTAGCGTGTGTTCGCACCAACTAATTAGGATACTAAGAGTGGTCTAAATCACTGTCTTTTCGCCAAAGATGGCGAAATAAAGAGGACCATGTCTAAGAATTAAGAAAACTTATCACCGAAACGGTAGCAGATCATCATTCAGAAAAGCTTACACTCACCTTCTGTATGATAAGTCTTCGAACGGATGCAGCTCGCAACTAAACTTCCCGCGTTCACCATACCTTTTTAAAAAATGTATGGGTGTTATAATGACAATTTTTTCCATGACGAATGATGAAGTCAGCTCCTTCTCTGGAATCTACCGTACAATTCCGGCGAATCAACCACCTTACCGTTTTTTTGCAAAGACCTTCCTGGGATATCTCGTTAAGCTTAATTTGAGCTTGGGCTGGAGGTTATAAATTGATGAAAAAGGACCTGCCAATCCCAAGATTTCCTTGGTCACTATATTCACGAGTTAGTACTATTTTTATCGCTAAGTCTAAGAGCTCCGATGCTCAGTATGATCGGCGAGCTGATGTTTCGGCCGTATAGCTAAGTTGTGACGAGAATTGATTGTTTTCGATCATCTTAGGCCTTGTATTACCCTTCCAAGAGAAATATGAGCACATTCTTCCTTCGATACTAACAATACCACTTGTGTGATATCAGTGGCTTGCAAAGCCTCAAATACATTTTATACTGTCGCTTCGAATTCGGTGGTGTGACAGGGGACAATAAACATTATCTAGGACCTTCTCGCTCACTCAATTTACGAGAAAGTAGACTTACTCGCCACAAAACGTGAGGATTTCAATATTTCGCACGGAAGATACGTTGCTGTCACAGCTGTACTATCCCATCGTGGCAATATAGACCATTATTAATAATAGCGGGTTCTAGCATTTCTAATCGCGACTCATAGCCGTCTGTCGTTTGTATTGGAGACCGCAGCACTTAGAGTTGCGAGCTGTTCAGAAAGTCTCAAGCCCTGGTCACCGCGACATACCATCGCCTTTATTGTCGTACCCAGAGAGGAAATCCTGCTCACAGCTGTAAACACCTATCATGTTAGGGATTGAGCTTGATTACTGTGGCAAACAGTCCCTTATTATCCTCTAATTTAGAAAGAAGACTCACAGCAACTTCTTTGGCTCAACATTTGCTCAAGGCTATGAGCACTGTCATTACTTCAATTTAGACTATACCGTGCCCTTCACTAGCGCTGTCGCAGCTGTATGCTCGTGCCGAAACCGCATTTCCTTTCTAGCAGATGTGGATCGGTGCGTAATCAAAGCTTCATCTGGAGAGGTCCAACATCTAAGACTCTTAGTCGCTCCATTAATCCTCAGACCAGGCCTGGAATAAGTTCGTCGATCGATACAGATTCGAAACAAGCTGCGTTTTATTGTGCTAGCAAAAAAAACTATATAGGGGTACAAACCCTACAACACTTAGCATGTGTTCCAATCGTTAGACGCACAAATGTGCTATTCGAGCTCGGTATTTCTCATCCCTCCTGTCTACTTTCGACACATAGTTGTACAACGCCTCTGCAGATCTCACGACTTTTCATGGCTTTACAATACTTGGGACGTTGATGTGATACCTGACCTGTGAGCCCCACCAACACTAGCGAGTATCACTTCAATCAGAGCGGCGTCCCATTAATGATGCGATATATCGCTGAATGTGCGTGGATGACGTCACAAGTATATGGTAATATTTACAGTTATTATCGTGACGGATATTGATTACGGACATAATGGTTGTCGTCTATTGGTCTAGATAAATAAGGCTGATTGTAGAAGCTTCTATAATTATCTGGATGGATAGGTTTTAATGTAGCACAGGGTAGCGAACTAGGGACATCAATGTTTTCACTTAGGTTTTTACCAACAAACCAACAAATTAAAACTCGTACCAAGAACGCTACCCAGCATGCTTCACCTTCGAACCGAAGACCTCCTAGGCAGTGATACTCCTTTCACTGAGAGCTTAACGTGTGCATGACGCTGGCGCGGAAGGGGTTACTGGCGCACGTTCAAGTCATCAAGAGGGAAGAAGAAATGACGGAAACCTGGCTTTTCAACGACGCCAAGGCACTGGGGATCATCGCTCAGGGTATCGAGCTACACCACCAGTCCAAGATTCGGTCTGCGTCGACGGCTATACACACTTGGAGCATTCTACGAGAATCTACAATCGTACCACGCGTCAAAACCGTGTCGAGATGTCGCGCCTCAAGGAGAAGCTGTTAAAGGAACATGAATGGTTGCAAAGAAGGAGACGACCGAGAAAGCGTTTCCTATTCGTGAAAGCGGTGGGCGGTTTAGAAGCAATCGTGGACCTGGACGAAGAGATTACGATCTGGGGAAGAGTATAGGTGGCACTTAAAGAAATTGCTCCTAGTGTAATCGAGTTGGACACATGAAACGAAAATGCCCAGGCGGAAGCGATGGCATTGACGAAAACGCGGTCTTCGCTGTTGGCTAAAATCGGATCGATGGGGCTGATCGATAGCGGTGCGACATCGCATATGACACTATACCGTGAAGACTACTCGAACTTGGTGATACGATCTTAGGCATCAATGTGACTATTGCAGACGGAAAGAAATTGCGTGTTCTTGGTAAAGGAACTGTTAAGCTGACTGGGATGGACGGTAAGTACTTAAGGATGCTAGACGTTTTGCGCATTCCAGGACTCGATAGACGGCTGCTATTGGTCGCAAAACTTGCAGAACGTGGTTTACGTTTGAAGCTTCAGCAATTTCCATGTGTTATCTGCGGCAAGGACAAGGCTTTAGCTCTGGGTAAAACGTTCGGCAAAGTTTTCGTCCGACGTCATTGACGCA